TCTCTCTCTCTCTCTCTCTCTCTCTCTCTCTCTCTCTCTCTCTCTCTCTCTGGTTTTTTTCAAGACAGGGTTTCTCTGTAGCTTTGGTGCTATCCTGGAACTAGCTCTTGTACACCAGACTGGCCTCAAACTCACAGAGATCTGCCTGCCTCTGCCTCCTGAGTGCTGGGATTAAAGGCGTGCACCACCACTTCCCAGCTCCTGATCATTCTCTGTAACAACTTGTAATTAATACTCTAAACAAAGATAAACATCCATAATCCATTTTGGGGGGAGAATGTGGGCATAGTTTTCTAGGCTACTTCCTGATGATTGGGGGTGCTGATAATTTTGTGGGTACCTAAAGAAAATTTAGGATTATGGTCAAGTCCTGACTAGAATTTTCTGTGAAGCTTGATCATCTCAGCCAGCAATCTTGAAGCTGTTCCGGATGTAGAACTCAGAGGACACTCCAACAGAGGTCCTCTGAAATGTTGGATCATCTAGGCCATTTGTTCCCATTGGAGATTCTTCAGGGGGTCTTCCTTGATCAAACCTGGTTTTTCTTAACCCAGAATGAATCCACAGCCTCTCATTTCCTGTGAAAACAAAAGCAAAATCTCTTCTCCAAAGTAACATATCTTTTGGCTTAAATTCTGAAGTCAAGGCATTTTCAGAATATATATGTTGGATTAATCCAGCAGCAATTATAATCAAATGTCTTTTAGCAGCCTTTGCTCCTTCCTTGGTCATCAAACCTTTCAAAGACAACACAGTAACATACAGTGTCCAGACTCTCTGTATATTTTCCATCTTTATGTGGCTTTATTTTAAATGCTATTTCTTTTATTTTTATTTTTAATTTTTGTTTTTTTGAGACGGGGTTTCTCAGTGTATCTTTGGCTGCCCTGGAATTCACTCTGTAGATCAGGCTGTCCTTGAACTCACAGAGATCTGCTTGCCTCTGCCTTCCAAGTGCTAGGATTAAAGGTATGAGCCGCCTACTGGAACTTTGCTGGTAGGCCATGACCGTGTGGTGATACATAGATTAATGGAGATGGGTTAGTTTGGGATATAAGAGCTAGCTAGAAATACGCTTAGGCTATTGGCCAAGCAGTATTGCAAACAGTATAGTTTCTGTGTGGTTGTTTCAGTTCCAGGCAGCTGGGAATGACCAAGCAGCCTTCACCAACAAATTGGCATGCCAATGTGGTCTGAAATACTTAGGGCTGACGCCCAACACCCACTTCATGTCTGGATGCTCATGTGCCCACTCGGGATTGGGAAGAAAGTAATTGATACCACTCTGCCTACATTGGTGCCATGGTTCCTTTACGAGAGTTGCAGTAAAACTGTGTGGCATCTTTAAAAACTATGGCTTCCTGGTTTGCCAGCACAAATAGCTCTGACTCTTTCGGGAGGTCCAGCTACAGAGCATTTTAATGAGGTTTGTGAGCAGAGTGCTACAACTTGCTTAGTGGCAACATAGATCGGCTGTGTGCTTGAAAATGGGGCAATGTGCATGGCTCTCAGAGGCAGGGAACATGCCTCCACCATGTTGGATTGTGTGGAGCCAAAAGTCTAAGCAGCCTTAGTCCTAGCCATGCCGCTTTGCATTTTAAGAAGTGGTTCTAATTGGAAAAGGATTACAGACACATAATAAAGACAAATCCAGATGGAAAAGACCTCTAAATGGGTCAGAGTGTTGGATAAATGTACCTAGGCTTGAGAGAGAGGAAAAAGAGACTGGACAGTTGTAAAAGACAAACAGTCATAGATTAAAGGAATAAAGATAATAACATAAATAATAAACTTTTAAGAAAAAGTAATAGAGTAAGAAAAACAAGCCACTTAAAAATGGAATATATGCAAAGAGTCTGGGTTATATATATTATGGTACTTTCTTTGAATTTTTTGACTGGGAAGGAGCTAAGTACAGAGAGACATTTCATTGTATGGTCTGCTAAAATAAACCAACATATATACTTTAAAGGTATCTTGATTTCAAAATTTGAGTCTGAGGATTTGTTGCTTTGGAAAAGAAGTTTTTTTGTTTCTACAGATGATGAGAACCTATGGATTCCTTCCAGATTAATGTGATGTGGTTGACCAAGACCCCCCTTTAAGATCACTGTGAACACCCCCAAAAATTACTTTGCCCAACATAAAGCAGGAAGCAAGTATTGTTTATAAGAATTTGTTTCCATTTAAAGGGGGGTTTAAAGATTTGCTTTGGTATGGATCTTGGTCTATTGATGCAAATTTTAGGTCAATTTTTGTATGTTTATTTCTGTTCTTGATTAAGGTATTTTGTTTGTGCAGCACATTTTAAAAATGTAATGTATAGTTAAGAAATATAAGTTAATAGATAACCTGTAATAGTCAAGCTTGTAGTCATGTTAGGTTTTTTTAGCTATATAGAGATATATTTCAGTTAGGTAGGTATTCTTCAGATCTTTCAGAGACCTTCAGAAGATGGCATTTAAAATGTTTTAAGAACTTAGGGCTTTTCATGACAATGAGACACGTCTGCTCCTGGCAGAGCAGAGGAAGGCAGGCATTGAAGAGTCTCCTTATGGATGGAGTGGGTTAACCATTTGGACAAGAATCTGCTCTTGCCTGGACTGCTTCATGTTATGCTGTATGAACTGGACATGTAGGTCCCACAGAAAAATGACTGCTGAACTTGCCTAAAGTTGAGACAGTCCTTCAGGGTTCCTGCTTAATGAAAGAGTCTGCAAGACATTCCGCAGAACACAGAAGAGCGTGACTGACAAGCTGCTAATATAGGCAGAACTGTCTTTGGAATTTACTGCTTCATGGAAAAGTCTGCCAGATACTGTGGACCTGTAGGCTGAACATGGACGCTCTAACGATACAGAAGAACTTTGGGTGACTGTCCAGGCAGCAAAATGTCTCTGTCAATTCTAGAGTTTTAGAAGTTGCTTATAATGCACTTCTGTTAACTTAGGTAATATTATATCCTTCTGGGGTCTTTGATGGAGTTGAAGAATAGACAGTTATAGTTTTCCTTAGTTACGATAAAAGATAAAGTAGATGTAAATATTGTAACTGTAATTCTTGCTTGATACCTGTTTTATTATATGTAATCTTGCTATGTTAAAGTTAAAATCTTCCTTTTAATTTAGACAGAAAGGGGAGGTGATGTATGTTGTAAATATGTTTTATTGCCATTGGTTAATAAAGAAGCTGCTTTCAGCCAATGGCTTAACAGAATTTAGCCAGGCTGAAAGAGATATATAGGCAGAGAGTAGGCAGAGTCAGGGAGAAGCCATGGAGCCGCCCGAAGAGAAAGACATGAGCTGTCAGCTGGAACCTTGCCAGTAGGCCATGAACATCATGGTAAAATATAAAATGATGGAAATAGGTTAATTTAAGATGTAAAAGCTAGCAAATAAGAAGCTAGAGCTAATAGGCTAAGCAGTGATTTAATTAATACAGTTTCTATGTGATTATTTTGGGTCTGGGAAACTGGGAACGAATAAGCAGCCTCTGCCAACAAGACAGAAAAACATAAGTCACAAAAAAACATAAGTTTTAACCCCTCTATCTCCAATATTATTTTTTTACACTTATTTTGTATGAGAACAAGAGGGGGGAGAGACAGACAGACAGACACAGAGAGAGAGAGAGACAGACAGACAGACACACACACACACACACACAGAGAGAGAGAGAGAGAGAGAGAGAGAGAGAGAGAGAGAGAGAGAGAATAACTCGAAGGTGTCAGTTCTCCCTTTCTACCATGTGGGTCCCAGGAATAGGACTCAAGTCATCAGACTTGGTGGCAAGCCACTTTACTGATGAGCCTCCAGGCAGGCCCTGAACCCTTCCCTCGTTTTCCTTTTTTTATACAGGTGGTTCTTTGTATCTCAGTCGATGTGTCTCAAGACTATAACCAAGTGGAGAATGTCATAAAACAGGTAAGAGGCTATTCGGGTGATTCCAGTTTGGTCCTTGACTTCTGAGTACTTCTTACATTTTGCTTTGTGACTTGGAGCTAGCAACTTTTTCTGTAGGTTCAGTGGTTCGGTGGATTTTATTTATTGACCTCGTTTTTCTACACAGTGACTCTTCCATTCTGTCATCTATTGTTTGAAACAGTATGTAATGTTCTGGACTGTTCTTCCAGGCACAAGAGAAGCTGGGTCCTGTGGACATGTTGGTTAACTGTGCAGGAACATCTCTGTCAGGAAAGTTTGAAGAGCTTGAAGTTAGTTCTTTTGAGGTAAGTGGCAGGTATTTGTTTACCTGGAGTCAAGATGATGTATCTTCTATTTTAAAATAGGCCCACCAGGAATCTCAACCACTAATTTACTTTAGTACTGAAGAAATGGACGTTGGATTTGAAATCTAAGTACAAAGCATTTTGTGGTTGACAATCCATCAGTCTTGTTTTTAGTGTTCTCCTAAGCTTCCATTAGGGTAATGGGGCTTGAAATCTTGACTCTGTTAAGTTAAATTACTCTCCTTTCTTAAAGAAAATAAGACTGCTGGACCAGCATTAAGGTTATCTTTTCATAGGCTCTAGGAAGTACCATGCACTCACAGGTGCACTCAAGACTTGCAGGAGAATCAAAGGGTAGCAATAAGCAGAATGGTAGGACCTGCAGGTCTGAGGTACCATTATCAGCCTGGCATACAGGAGAGTTGTTTATACTTATGTACATTCATCTGCGAACAATGGAGGCGAGATTTGAAAGATGACATCATCAGCTATGTAAATAATCAATTTGGGAAAATCATTGTTGAAGTGTAAATATGAAAGAGTAAAGTAAAAGACTTGGGGATACCCAGAAAAAGAGGAATGAATGTGTGGATATGTATATATCTGTCTATGTGTTTATCTGATTTGTGTGTGTATGTGTGTGTGTGTGTGCACATGTGTGTAAGATGATGCTGTAAGAATATTCAGACTCTACTGAGAACAGGGATAAAAATTGGATTGAGGAATAAATAGTTACTAAATTGAATGCTGAGATACCAGGAAGTAAGGTGTGTGTGTGGAGCAGGAGAGATGTGCGTGTTTACATTTATGTCTGAGATGGCCATGCCAGTGTAATCACATGGGTATTTTATGAAGCTTTGAATAGAAATAGAAGCAACTGAGTATGCAAATCTAGGTCAAGTGTTTGATATTGTCACTGAAGAGACACAGCTCATGACTGGGGTGATCAATTGGTCCCATGTGGCTCCTTTGGGTGACATTTCTGATACTGCACCCACTTCATTCTGTCCTTCACTCTGATGTCTTTTTTCCTCTGCAATTTTGCCCATTAATTTTTCCCTGTAATAAATCCTCTGTTGCTGTATGCTGAGGACTTTGAGGCCTTCCAGTGAATGACCAAATCTGGCTTGGTCTCAAGGACCCCTATACCCTTCTCTTTATTCTCTTTTTAATGATTTTCCTCTGAGTTTCTTGGAGGTGTATCTTATCTTTACCTGTGCTGTGAATGTTGGATCATCTTTTGTTCCACCAGAATTACTCCTTCATGTATGTGTTTGTTTCTTTGGAGAGGATGGTATTGTGTTTTGTGTTGGAGGCTTCCCTGCATGTCTGTTGGCCCTTGCCTGTGTTTTCATATCGTACTGGGTGGAGAGTTCTGTGTCCATGGATAGAGCCCTCTGTAGGGTGATGGTTTGGCCATGTCTTAGGGGTGCTTGGAGTCTGATATGGGATGTCCTTGTGTATATTTGTTGTTTTTATTGGTTGATCAATAAAGCTGTTTTGGCCAATGACTTAGCAGAGTAAAACCAGGAGGGAAATTCAAGCAGAGATATAGAGAGTAGGTGGAGTCAAAGAGATGCCATGTAGCTGCCAAAGGAAAAAGATGCCAGAACCTTACCAATAAGCCATAGCCTCATGACTATACACAGATTAATAGATATGAGTTAGTATAAGATATAAGGGCTAGCTAGAAATATGCCTGAGCTGTTGGCCAAACAGTGTTGTAATTAATATAGTTTTTGTGTGATTATTTGGGTCTGGGCAACCAGGAAATGAAAGTGCAGTCTCTGTTTACAAATGATACCCACTGTTTGATCAAGGAAACCCCCCTGAAAATTCTCCAATGGGAACAGATGACCCAGATGATCCAGTGTTTCAGTGCACCTCTGTTGCAGTTTTCTCTGAGTTCTACATCAAGAACAGCTTCAAGACTTCTGGCTAAGATTATCCAGGCTCACAGAATACTCCAGTCAAGACTTGACCATAATCCTAAGTTTTCTTTAGGTCCCCATAAGGTTATCAGCACCCCAAATCAGCAGAAAGTAGCCTAGAAAACTACACCAACAGTCCCAAAAGCTGGATGCTTGTTTTTGTTTAGAGTGTTGGTTGCAAGTTGTTATAATGGTCAGGAAGAAAGCTAAACAAAGGAGATTAGATTCAGAGTTCTTGTTTTGAAAGGAAAAAAGGGGAAGTGTTGTGGGATAATGCATTTGTACCCTGTGAAAATTTATCACTCATACTGGTTTACTAAAACACTGTTTGGCCAGTAGCTAGGCAGGAAGTATAGATGGGATGATCAGACTAGGAGCATTCTGGGAAGAAGAAAGGTTTAGTATGCAGTTGTCACCCAGATGCAGAGGAAACAAGATGGAAATAATGTACTGAGAAAAGGTACCAAGCCACATGGCTAAACATAGATAAGAATTATGGGTTAATTTAAGTTGTAAGAGCTAGTTAATAATAAGTCTGAGCTAATAGGCTAAACAGTTTTTAATTAATTTAATCCTCTTTATGTTTCTTTGGGACTGAAAAGCTGTGGGACCAGGCAGGACAGAAACTTCTATCTACAGTGGTCAGTATCTGTAGGTCTTTTCTCTCTAATTTATCCAAAGCCCCAGAGAAGTGACCTAGGCTTCTGTCTGGGAAATGGCTGCATGCCCCACTGTTAGAGTGGAGTCTGCATTCAGTGTCTACAGAGATGTTCTAGGTATGTCAGTCCTTTCTAGAAAGTTTGCCTTCTGCCAGCAGGATACCACTAAAATTTAACTGTTTTTTGTTGTTATGTCAGTTTTTAAAAAGTCAACTGAAACTCTTATAAATAACTGAGGTATTGGTTTGTTTAAGACACCCTGTCACTGTGCACACCAATCTAGACTCTTGCACTTCTGCCTCAGCTTTCTAAGAACTGTTATCACAGGTCTCTGTCATCTGTCGCCTGGCAAATTTGGCTATTTGAGAGTCAACAATTTGAAGGCATTTATCATATTGTGATGTTGTTTAGCCATCTAATGCCAAAACATGTTTGTCTCCTCAAAGGATACCGTGCACTTTAGTCAGTATTTCTTATTGCCCCAGACCCTGGCTACTGCTAACCTGTGTGTGTCTTGCTGACTGATAGAAAATGTGATGTATCCCTCCGGCGTCTGCTTCCATCACATAGCATAACGTTCTCAAGGTCCCTGCATGCTGTAGTATATATCAGTGTGTCATTCGATTTTCTGGGTTGGTAATGGTCCCATTGTGCGGCATCCTGCAGTGTCCTTGTTTGTTTATCATCAGTGAAAATTTGGAATCCTTTCACCTGGCCTAGCTCCATCCCAGAAGCCTTTGGGGTTTGTGTTGTACAGTCCTGCCTTTTCTAGTTTCTCTGTTGCCATTCAACATCCTGTGTCTAGTCTTGCCACTTGTCATTCTGATCTCCAGCTTTCAAGATGCTGTTGCTTTTCCTTTGATTTTCTTTTTGTTCTCTTAAAAAGGTGGGGGTTGGAGGCTGTTAGCTGGGCCTAATGGCTCTTATCTAGAAACCCAGCTCTTGGGAAGCTGAGGCAGGATAATAAGCATGACTTTGAGGCCAGCCTGGGCTATGAAGTGAATTTCAGGCCAGCATAAGCTACAGTGTAAGACTCTGTCTCCAAAACAGACAGACAAATAAGCCTACTGTTTATTGCTGCTTTAGTGGGTTCTCTGGAAAGAGCTGAGGTGGGCACATGGTCTTATTCTTTCTCAGGTAGCTTTTGGGGTGTCTTACTACTAAAACAATATAATGTGGGGCTGCAGGAATGGCTCGGTGGTCAGTGTGCTTGCTGATCTTGCAGAGGACTCAGGTTCTGTTCTCAACACTCACCTGATAGTTCTCATCTGTAGCTCCAGTGCCAAGGAATCCAGTGCTCACCAGGAATACATATATGCACACAAGACACCATATATATATATATATAAAACTTTTAAAATGAAAGCAATGCTGTGATAGTAAAGCATATTCTGGAAACCAGCAGAAATCCTAATTTCTGAACACAATAAATATTTTCTCTTTTTCTTGGCATTTGCAAAATAAAATAGTGAGAATTATGGTCTACATAGCTTCTGCCTTATACTTTTAAAAAATTCTTTGTTTATTTAATTTCATTTTACGTTCTAACCACAATTTTACCTCCCACCCCTCCACCCCTGTTCTCCCCACTTCCTCCTTAAATTACCCCCGTCCACTTCTGCCTCCGATAGGGAGTCAGCAAAGCCTGACACATTAAGTTGAGGCAGGACCAAGTCCCTCTCCCCTGCATCAAAGTTGAGCAAGGCATCCCACCATAGGAATGGGTTCCAAAAAGCCAGCTCAGGGATACATGCACTGGTTCCACTGTCAGGGGTCCCTCAGGTAGACCAAGCTACACAACTGTCTCCCACAGGCAGAGGGTCTAGTTTGGGCCCGAGGAGGCTCCACAGCTGTCTGTCTAGAGTTCAGGAGTTCTGTAGATTTCCCTGTCATGATCTTGACCTGCCCACCTTGCTCATATACTCCCTCCTTCCTCTCTTCGACTGGAATCCTGGAGCTCGACCTGGTCCTTGGCTGTAGATCTGCATCAGCTTCCATCAGTTACTGGATGAAGGCTCTATGATGACAATTAGGGTGGTCACTAATCTGATGACAGGGGAAGACCAGTTCAGGCTCCCTCTCCACTATTGCTAGGAGTCTTAGCTGAGGTCATCCTTGTGAATTTCTGGAGATTTCCCTAGCATTGGGTTTCTCCCTAACCCTGTAATGGTTCCTTCTATCAAGATGCCTCTTTCATTACTTTTCCACGCTGCCCCTCACCCAACTCGACCATCCCCTTCCCTCATGTTCTCATCCCCCATCCCCTCCCCTGTACTGTCCCCCCACCCTCAGTTTTCTCAGGAGATCTCATCTAATTCGCCTTCACAGGGCAATCATATAACCCTCTTAGGGTCTTATTTTCTATTCTCTGGAACTGTGGAGTATAGTCTGGTTGTCCTTTGCTTTACAT